GCACGGCTACTTGCATGGACAAATTCCCTTTTACCGGGGGAATCTCCTGCCGACTTTGTTTGACCGTGAAGCAAACGTGCAGAGACAGGGTGAGTTCCCCCTTTCCTGATTCGAGTTGTGAAGATCCTATACGGAAGTAGAGTTGTTCCGCAAGTCTAAGTATAGGAAAAATCGGGGAGATGATGATTTCGCCCCCGCTGTACTTGCTGTACTTCGGTCAAATCAGAAGTGCTGAATGTTTCCCCCCTCCAAAAAAAACTCATCACTGTCTCCGATAGGGTGCCTCGAATAGCCTGCCCACTCTCATATCTCTAACGTGGCTCTTGAGGCAAATGGTGGCGTTGATTGACCTCAGGGCATCGAAGGCAGGAATCCGTATCACCATTGCTTCTGTGCGCTGTCGTATCAGCCTGCTTCCACTTTTCGATACCTTCGGCGGGTCGGAAAGAATCTACCACGAACCCCAGCCCTTTCCCGCTGCTTTTCTTTTCTTTTTTATTTTTTTCACCTTAGATCCATGCCACTATCTTCCCTGCAAGCTTTGGTAATACCTATGCTTCCGTACCTTACAGAGGTTCGACTCGCCTGGCTCTATCATTTCTTTTTTCCCTGTGGAATATTTGCTGTTCGTCTTCCAGGGATGCCCTCTGTTGTCTCTGCCCACTATCTCTGTCGCGACATGGTCTCGTGCACTTCATCTTGGGCATCAGCCATGTCAGTCCTGCACTGTTTGTCCATTTGTGTCTTTTTAATAGAATTGCTACCCCGTTTCCAGATGGGATTTTTGTGAATTATTCTTCTTTCTCTCCTTCTATATCACACTTTCACACTGTGTTCTTCTAGACACAGTTCAATTTTTTCTTGTGATACTTGGTGTAGTGTACCAGGGTTGTGGCAATTCTTCATCAACTACATGCAAACGAGTTAGCCTAGTCTTCTCAATTTTCTTGTGGCTGTCTTCGTCTTACTATCATTATCATTACCCTCAGAGGTTTGCTGTTGCTGTATACCGGTCTTTCTTTTATATATTCTTGTTCTATCTGTTTGAAGCAGATCGACGCAGGCTGAACAATAAGCAAGTGGCATCCCAACCCCAGAAAGACATCAATTATGAGCAGTTTTGCAAGGCGCAACGAAGGGAACGATGCTTATCTCATGAATCACCAAATGGCAGTTCCTGGCTCATATGGCCAACCGGAAAGTCATGAGTTTAAGCAAGAAAGCCATGACTTCAACACACATGGATCTGGTTCATATCATTTTCCTCAGCATTCCTTCAACCCATACGGGTCCCAGTTTGGGCAACCCTATGGCCCACAGTCGAGTCTCTCTCCGGGGTTGCAGCATTTGCAATATACGTCGGAACATTCGATCCCATCGATGACAACCCCAGATGACCCTAGGCTACACCATCCACCACAGTTTATGTCCCAATCGCGCTATCTCCAAGGGCCAAGATATCTGCCCCGTGACCCGCTGGGTGAAACAGATATTGAAAGCCAAGAGTCTCACAACGAGGCTACATTGCTGTCAGAGGCTGTAGTGCCCGCAATTAGCGGCTTCCCTGATGTGAAGGAGTTTGATCAACTGATGCAAAAGTGAGTGATTCGTGAGAAACCATACGGACCTGAGGCTAATATCTCATCATCCTAGCTATGTCGAGGACCTGTCTATCAAGAAGCAAGATAAAGCATTGATCTATGCCAAAAGGGCCCGTAACATCAGAACTGTGTTGATCGACCCCAAAGACACGGCGGTGGAGTCGGCTCAATTTCGGTATGGATCTCTCGAATTTAATTAATTATCTACCTTGCTGAACAAATCAGATTTTGGGTTAAAAAGATGTTCAAGCTCCAGGCTGTGGGATCGGATGTAAGTCTCACTTCTCCCCAGTGGACATGATCCAACAATGCTGATAGAGCGATTTATTGCGATTTAAAGCATAGGAAAATGATCTGTCACGAGGGGAAACCGGTTGCAATTCGAGAAAAATTGTTCAAAATCCTTACCAAGGCTCATCAGCAATGCCAGCATGGTGGCCGAGACAAGACATCTGCTCAGGTCCGGCGGATTTATTCATGGTGGGCAAATCCAACTCATATTATACATATATGATATGATATACATGATATGTGTCTGATATTTACAGCCACTGATTATCTCATTAGGGTTCCTAAGGAGCTGATCTCCCGCTTTGTCAAGATCTGTCCAACCTGTCAGGTGCGCCGTGGGGGTTCACGCTTGACGCCACCCAATTCGCGGAGAAGCTCTCCCAGACTGGAGATGGTCTCTCGATCTCCCAAACTCCCGTCGCCGCCAATTTCCCGACGAGAATCGACGTTTGCTGGTCAAATCCCCCTTGACAGGACGCAAGCAGACTATTTTGGTCATTTACACGGTCACGGTCACGGTGGCTGGCTGGATAGTCATCAAAATGTGCAAGGTCGCTCGAATCCAGGTAACGGAGTTCGGTCGTTCCAGGGTCCCATGGGCAATCTTTCACACTCAATTTCTGGCACTTTGGATCCTTTCTCCACCGATTTATCCATCCCTCCGTCCCAATTGAGTTATACAACGGGATATGTGCCGACGCATGGGGCTGCGCCCCAGCGAGATTTTTGATTATCTCTTCTGGTCGACTTATGTGGATGTTGCTTTTTGATATTATCGGAGCACACTAATTGTGTGCTCCCTAAAAGTATACCTCTTGAGGAGCCTCTGGGGTCGTTTTATGCTTCCGTGTCAACCACAAGTCTGATTGCATACACGAATAGGGCAAGAATTTGATCCCCATCCGTTATAGGGCTTTTGAGTGTACGAGGAAGGGAAGGAATTCGAATAAAAATGGAAAGAACATGAAAACCACCCTAAAAAACTAAACAAACCAAAAAATACCTCGAACTCTTTGAAACTTGACATTTGAAATTGTAGACCAATAACCCCGTACAGAAGTTTTTGACAAGCCGAAGATGATTTTCTTTCTCTGATCAGCATTATAGAACACAAAAATCAGATATGCACACAGCCCATAATCGTATTCGATATACGATAGTCAATTGCGGGTTTATTTGAGCCTCATGTGACCATTCCTAAATGCATACAGATTGGCAACATAAAAACATTAATTCATAGCAACTCCCAGTGTCGGGGCTAGAGGGATATTGCATGGGTTCAAGGCACTTCGTGCTTGTGAGGTAGGCGATCACACAGTGTCCCTGGCAAATATAGAAGGAACGAGTGAATCAGATTCAAAATTCCACCTCGGACCCTCTGGAAGATCCAAGGTATCATTAATTCCTTAACCCATTCAAGAAGAAAAAGGAGGAAAAAGGAATCTAAACAGGAAGCGAGAATTTCTTGCCCTTCAAAACCCTAGGAGGAAAAAGCGCAAGTCAGTGTCCGAGTGTCAACCTTGTTTTTTTTTCCTTTTTAAAAAAAGCAATTGGACCTACTTGTTGTAATAAATGTAAAAGAAATCAGAGTAGAGCAATGTTTGGATGATTCCAGCAATGATGGTCACGGGCTGGAAAGAACGTTGGAAGGAGGCTTCTGTGAAATAGCGGAAGATCCAGTTCGGTATGTAGAGTGCCCTATAGAGTCCCAGAGCAAACAGATAGTGCGTGGTGATAGTGTCTGCCTCTCCGGTTCGTTGCAGCATGAATAGTTGTGGCAATATGGCAACCGATTCCAACCAAATGGAAAACGTCCAGAGTATCTACATGACGTTAGTCCAGATATTTCCACTCCTCAATGGATATGCAACCAACCTCGGCGATGCGATAATCGCGTGGGAAGAGAATCGCGAGCACCGCACTAATTCCGAGGAGGTATTGAACCTTGAAAGTATCGATGTTGGGATCGTGTGTCGGTTTGTAGTCATTGAGCATGAGGTAGATGACGTAGGCCGAGGAACCAATAAACAGAAGCTTGAACGAGGTGAGGTACAGAGACTCGGTGAATGTCCAGAAAAGATCTAGATATAGGGTGCATAAGCAATTGTGATGAACATGAAGCCGACGGTAACGTCGAAACCTACCAAGATACCGAGTGACAAAAACGATAAGGTATAGCACTTGCGATTTAAACGACAACCCGGAACAACTCTAAGATTGGCGATTAGTACAAGTCAAATGTGGCTTAATAGATCGGAGAACATACGCTTGACGTCTTCATCTTCCGCAAAAGCATGAAGATCGACGCTAGATGGGAGAAGTCGGCTGCGATTGAAGTTTAGCATATCGCGTTGGTTTCCATTGGTTTCATGTCGTACCTAATAACCTGAAGAGATTCATTATGCCGGAGACGGAACTCAATTAGCAGTGTGGATAATGATCTAAGCCAGGAGAGAGAGAGAGAAAGAGAGAGAGGGAGGGAGGAAGGGAGGCGAGAAAAGAAGACAAGTTTGAGAATTGACAGAAGTTTAGACCAAAATAGCTGAGTTGTTGACACGAAGGCAAAAAATGGAAGGAGAACTTACATATGTAAATTACTTGCAGATCAGGTACAATGGATGGGTACAGGTATGTATGTACAGCCCATGTACGTACTGTATACATACATATGTATGTACTTGTAATAGTTATGCATTATGTACATTATGTAATGTTACTCCACAACTACCTAGGTAGTGTGGGACTATGAAAGTGTACTCCGTACTTCGGAGTACATACTAGATACCTTTTCGAAAAGTATTGAATGTATTGCTATTTCAGCCAGAAAATTAAAATGAAATAATACTACACTCCTCACTGTACCTTTCACAATCTATAATTCTAGAACATCCCCCCTTCGGCACCTACAGAACTGGTATGTATTTATATCTATACAACCCCAAAGTGCATTCATTAATATCGTCAAGTCATCATATTGATACAACACCTGCAAAATACAATCATAATCGCTACCTAGACCTGCCCAATACCTTGATACCACCAGACACATGACCAGATAAAACGCCGAGATCAACTGCCATTGTAGGACAAACATGTATATTTGCCTTGTTAGAACAAGTTCCCGCCCCCGATACTCTCATCGGCCATTCGTTGGAGATGGCCTTCAGCTAGCTCGCTCTTGAGAGCACAGATTGAGCTTTCGCGATCGAGTCGATCCCAGTCTCGGAGTTCTACTCGCTTGGACCTTTGCATCTCTGCGATCTGCTCAAGGAGTTTTTCTTTGTCAACATCAAGCTGAGATAGTCGTTTCTCCACAGCAGGATCCAGAAGCGACGGAAGGATCCGCCCTTCCGGTATGATAGTACATAGCCCTGCAAGATGGTTTATTCCCCTCTGAGCCAATGGTTGAGTTACAGATGGGGTGCTGGATTGCCGGGGAGTTGCATGTCGGTAATTACCACCTGGTACAGGAGATGAAAAAGAAGCACGAGGACCTGCTGGTGGGGCTTGCGAAGGTGCAGCAGGTCCGCGACGTACTGGCGGAGACCCTGCCCAAGCTTCACGTGGGCCAGGCCCACGGCGAGGACGAGTCGGCGCTGATAGTAAAGAAACATACGGTTGACCGCGATGCTGATTGGATGACGGCCTCGGTCCCTGATAAGGTCCTGATGGTGGCAGCGGAAGTGGGATTGCACTGTGATTTTTGGGTTGAGTTGGGATATTGCCACCAACCTTGGTCCCGCTTGTCTGAGGTTCCAAATATGCTTTTTCGGGAATCGAAAAAGGCGAATGGTTGCCAACCGATACTCGGTCTTCGTGATCTGACCGTTGTTGTGGGTGGGAAGACTCCGTATCGTGGATCTGATCTTGGTACAAAGACCGACCTGGTGGTTTCAACGAATGTTGAGAGTGTACCGGAGAGCGAATCGGCGACCTACTACGGGCTCCGTGGGAAGCAGGAATAGGATTTTCTATGGCTGGCGATGAACTCCGGGATATCAGGACGGGTTGTGAGGCCAAGGCTTGAGCTTGTGCGGGTGAAACATGTCTTGGAGGCGACAAAGTCCGATCCCGTTTCCCCGCATCACGAGAGTGGCCTCGATGTGAGGCATGAATTGGACTGTGTGGCAACAATACTTCTGGCTGTGCTCTCGGGGAGGAATTTCTGGGGGGGTTGTTAATATTCAAGACAGCAGGACCGTCGCGTCTCGCGGATCGGAAAAATTGACTGCCAGGAGTTGTATCGCGTATTCGTCTTGGGCTGTTGCGGGCACGCGATGCGTTGCGTGATCTGCCATCACTGTAGGGAGATTTCGAGCGCCATTTTTGGGGTGGCGATCTGACCCTTTCCTCTCTTCTAGGCGAGAATCTTCTTGGTGGAGATCGTCGTCTTTCATAGGGGGCTTGACCAAAATTTCTCCCCAGAGGAGTACGTGACCGGCGCCGGTATTGCGGCGGTGACCGACTTCGTAGGCGCCCATACCCTCTATTTGATGATGGTACCCAAGTGTCAGCTCGTGGTCGAGGAGGGCTTCGGGTCCGTGGTGGCGAACGCCTGTGACGAATTTCATACCCCCGAGAAGGGGAACGACCGCTTCTTTCGGCTGGACGATAACTTTCTCCACCTCTTCGTTCATCAAATCTAGCAAAATACTTAGAAAGTTTCTTCCTCTCAAACGGTTTGATACGGCTACAAACCTTCTGCGATCCCAGTCCATTCTGATATAGAGAATATGGATATTAGAGGGATGGGATGAGGTGCAAAGTACTCTGGGGTGGAAAATAGAAGGTAGAGCATAGGAATAGACAGTTACCTAGTGCTACTTCTCCTTCTCCTGGCGAGAGAGGGCGAAAGTATGTCGAAGAGTTGAAACCTGGTAGATAAGAGTACCGAGCTAAACCCTTTTAGGAATCAATCCCCGTGACCGTGGGCTTCGATGTATACATAGTACTATGTATGTACAACAAGAAGATGGAATCTACGTTAATCGGAAGATTTATACAGATAAGTCTACGGAGTAGACCCCTTGAAATTTCATAGATTATTCAATAAAGCCTTGATTCAAAGATAATCGTACATTACAAGCCACAGACTTTTCTTGCAACCTAGAGTGTACACCAAAGCAGCCAAACTCCAATGCTCATCACAAAAAAAGTAGGCTCAGGGAACCTAATAGAAATAAAATAGAAAAATACACCGAAAGAAGCATCTTTAATGCTTTCCTCGTCTCTCCTCTTCCTTTCGTAATCTTTTGCGGCTCTCCTGTGCGATCATGTCACTCAAGTCCTCCTGGAAACCCCAGTTCGGTGGATTCTGTTGCTGCCTCTGTGACTCGTACATGCTCTGGAGGCTCTCTTTGCTGAGACCATCGCCGGATTGAATTGCATCCAAGCTGACAGACACTTCAACATCCCCAGGCTTCTTGCGTTTCCGGGTTTGGTCCTCTGCGCCAAGAACGGGAGGCTTGACTGATGATCCACTAAGGTCATAGGCTCTATCACCCCCGAAAAAGCCTTCCACGTTCGTTTGTTTCTCGGGAATAACCTGATAAGCACTCCGAGGGTGGACGGATTCCTCTGTATCAGTACCACGATGGTGTTTGCGCACATCAAACTCCCCAGAGACATTCTCAGCGCTAACAAATTCAGATGGTACTGCTGAATCTATCCCACTTGGGGTTTCCATGTCACTAGGAGAATGAGCACCTGCACGCACGTCATCTTCGTCGCTTTCTTCTTCATGTTCATCATCGTCCTCCTCTGCTTCACTCTCCTCTTCTGACTCTTCCGATTCATGCAATTCTCCCCAAAGATCTTTTTCGATCGGCTCTCCTTGTTGGGCATGCTGCTGAGGTTGTAAAACACCGAAGATATCACCTCCGAATAATGGGCGATTGTGTTCATCGACAGGTGGTTTGCCATACCCTCCAGGATGGTAACCCCACGAAGCGCCGGGTGGAGGGGGCGCATTGAGACCGGGGACTTTCAACGCTGGGTAAGAAGATGGGGGACCATATCGCTGCTGGTTGACGAGCCACGGGGGAGGAGCTCCTAAGGTCATACCAAGAGCGTCCCTTAACTCATCGCTCAGCTCACCAGGTCGGAGGTGCTTTAGGTTGGTCTCATATTCTTTGCCCTCGTAGTAAATCTCACCATAGCGAGTCAGCTCTGGCTTAGTTTGGAAACGGAAAAATGCCTCGTAAAGCTTCTGATAATCAATGTCGAGCTTGCCCATCTTTGGCTGCACTCTTTCCCTTTGCTTCTGTTTCAAACTTGATTGTTCCTGCTTCTCTAAAGCTGCGTCACGCATCTCAGATATGCCCGTCTCTTGTATGAATTTTGGGAGAGCAAACGGCGCCTTCTCCACTCCCCGTTTGGATGAGAGATACTCTCGTTTGAGAGACCAGTGAGAGGGGACCGGAACCACATTGCGATGGGCTTTGATGTGAACGAGAAGCCGGGGATCAGGGGCAGATGTATCCGTCCATTCAACGATTTCAGGCTTTCGTACCATTGCTTTGAGTTCAGCAACAGATAGTTTGTTCATTTCTTTTCGCTTCTTTTTTGAAATCTTGGGCTCGTTCTCTTGCTCTTCGTCTGGTATTTCATCGCCATCGTCAAAGAAGACCTCGGGTTTATCAGACTCCTTCGTGGATGAAATTTCGTTCACTGTCTCGTCGAATTTTCCGACAACACCTTTGTACATCTCCCATAGTGGATCAGTTGGCTCAGGAAGCAGATCAGTGTCAGTATCAGTCGGCGCATCCTGAGAAGGAGCCACTGGCGGAGGTGACAGTTCCCGCGATGCGGTGTTGTCAATGGGAACGCTCGTAGTCTTGGCAGTAGTGTCAGCTTCGCATCGACTATGGCCGAGAAAATTTGAAAGATATATCTGCCTTACCTCAGCTTTATGGGCCTTTTTCTTTGCTCTTCTGAGCTGGTTCTTGCTCAATTTCATGGTTGCTGGAAGGTTGGGAAGCTACTCAATCGATGCAGTGCCAGGTCGAGAGTATTGCAGAACTTGGGAGAGATAACGCACTGGCAGCTTATTTCAGGTGCATGCAGGGATACACTCAGATAGCGAAAGACAATGGAGTGGGCGGATAAGGTTAAAAACCGAATATATTGCATCTTAGTTGTTATCACGTGCGTCCAGCCATGTTGCCTTACCGCCTGTATTTTGCCACACTGCTGTCACTCTAGTGTGTTTATTGTACTCCGTATGGAGTACATAATAGAAGATGCAAACCAATCTTGGAACCTTTGAGGGCCTAGAAGCCTTTAGATCTACCTAGTGTGCATTGTTATATATATGTTTGGTGGAAGCCTTTTTTTGGAATTTTTGGTATTGTTTCAATAAACTACAGGCATGAGATCCCAAAGAAAAAAAGGGGGAAAAAGTATTATTGTACAAAGGGTGAAACAAAACCAACTGCGTCCAATGGTGAGACAATCAGTAAAGATAACAATAGATAACAATAATAACAAACACAAACACCACGGGAGGATTTTCAGCTGAAGGAAAATATTCTAAACAGCTCCGCAAAGCAGTATTTCACTAGCTCAGCCAGATCATAGGAAAGATAATCTGGATATAGAACATGTGCGAGTGTTGATGTGAGTGGTGCAATTTTGGGCTCAGCAAAGCCTAGAAAGTCAGGTAGGTACTCTATTTCTTCTTCTTTGCGGACCTCGATTCTGTTCAAGTCTTAGATTTTGATCCTAGCATGAAGCCCAATGATTGGGTGGAGAGGAAAATTACCTGCGGCAGTTCGTTTCTTCTTTGGTCGACCCTTCCCTCGTAATTTGGCACTATGGATCATATGTTTAGTGAAAATATGGGATATTGGATAGCAACTCTTACATCTGAATAGCTTCTTCTCTGTCATCTTCAGCTTCATCAAATGTCGTCAATCCAAGAGGCTTATAAGTGTTTTGTAAATCCTGGAAAGACACAGTCTTTTTTGGGTACCAGGCTGCAAGTGCTGGACCACGCAGGCGCTGTCTTAAGACCTTGTTTCCCAGTCGAAGTCGTTGGGGGTTGAAATTAAGAGAGAATATGCGACATTGGGTCTAGAGAATTGCCAATTAGTGAGTGCGAGCATAGGTGCAATGAACAGGGTGGTCGAACCTTAACTAGATCCAAGATCCGACTTGACGCCATTTTCCTTTTCTCAAAGATTCAAAAGAATCATGTATAAAAAGCAATACTGAAGCAACTGTTCACAACAGCTTGGTAGACAGATGTTATCGAACTTGGGATACCAACTGAAGTTTGCCCGGCTGTCATGTGACCTTCCGAAGTATACCGCCTACTCCGTACATAACATCCATTTGTTTTATTTCGGGGTGGAAACCCTCCCAAAAAACACAAAGGCAAAACTGTGATCAGACTGTACAGATGCTACAAAAATTAAGATGCCTCAAGATAAGGAGATAGGGGATTCAACAGGCTCAAAAAGGCCAGTGGTGAATCTAAAAAGATCATTATCCGTCTTTGGGTCAGATACCACACAAAACTCACAAAAGCGGCATAAGGTGAATACCATATTCTCATCCGACTGAGTGAATTCCCGTTGGTTCAAATAAATTGCTGACATCTATTTGTACAAAGGTTCAACAATTCAGTCGGCTATCGGATACTAAATTGTCTACTGGTGACAGTCGCAGCATGGCCAAGTCTAGCAACAATTCTCGTCTTCCTCTTCTACAACACCTTATTCGAGAAATCTCAACCAGTTCCGATCTCGCTGGTACAGACTCGGAGATTGTGGACGCGATTTTGAGGCTAAATGACGCATTTCATGGGACAAAGAACCAATTGCCTTCGAGATATTCTCTTATGGCTGGTGAGGTCCCCAAATCACACCACTCAGATCATAGTTCCAAGTTGGCCAGTGGACTGTATGACTCTAAGCTACCCCCGATCATGGATGATAAGCTGGAACTTGCTGTCTTTACCCATCCAGCTCTTAGCAACAATAACAATACGACCTACGACCGACTCGAAATTCTAGGCGATGCATACATTGAACTGATTGCAACGAAACTGGTCTGGGAGAGATTTCCAGATTTACCAGCAGGTCGAATATCACAGATTCGGGAGGTCCTTGTCAAGAATGAGACACTTTCGGGCTTTGCTGAAAGCTTTGGCTTGGACCGCAGGGTTTCTGTGCCGCCAAACTACAATACCCCGTCAAAGCGATGGACCAAAACAAAGGGCGACGTCTTCGAAGCCTACGTCGCGGCAGTCATATTATCCGACCATGTTTGTGGCTATGAAGTAGCCGAGCATTGGCTAGCAGGTTTATGGGTGCCAATTCTCAAGAACCTAGGTCACCAGAAAGGGGAATTACGCTCCAAGGAAGCTCTTGCTAAGAAAATTATGGGGAAAAATGTGAAGCTTGAGTACCTCGAGGAGCGTCCATCAATTCAGCAGAAGGGTGGGACACAAACTTTCTTCGTCGCGTTATATCTCACTGGGTGGGGATGGGACAAGAGGTTTTTGGGTTCCGGCCAGGGCCTGAGTAAAGCAGCTGCAGGTGACGAAGCAGCAAAAAAGGCTTTGCTAGATACACCACTGATTCTTGAGATCATATCAGCGAAGAAATCATGGGAGTCTAATTCTTAGAATTCTTGGTCACATGCCTCTCGCGATCGACCAGGTTGGTTTCTTCGAGTTACTATGTCTTGACATAAATTTCATATTGAAGAAGATAGCACTAATTATGTCAAGCCCACCTACCCGGTGTTTGTGTGGTGCACCAGATAGCAAATTCAACCCTCGGCAATTGCGTTTAAATACTTTTATTGCGGAGCGAAGCGAAGCAATTAAATCATAAGGGGTCGGGTGTCATGTGACTAGAGGTCGCTAATGGGTCTCAAATCCATAGCTTGTCCATAATCGTGCCAAGCGCCCAACACACCTTCTCTGTGTTGGTGCGCCCCACTCAACGATAATTCCCACTCAACGATAATTTTCTACCAACAATTGTATTGAAATCAATATTTACAGGTAACCACCAATAGTATCTATATAACAATTTGTACCCTCACCAAACCTAGCTACCATTGAAGCTTTATACTCAGTTTCAGCTAAATCTCTTACTTCCTAAGCGCGTTGTTAAGCTTCTAAATCCTTGGTATACTTTACCTGTAAGCGCTTCAACTTTCTAGAATCAGTATCCTGCCTTTTTACTATCTACCGGTTAGCACAAAGTGGTGAAAGGACATTACCTCTAGATCTAAGAAGCGATTTCCTATTTCTTAGGGTATTTGCACTTAAACTATTAGTACGAGCCTTCTTTGACTCAGCCTTTGAAATAGCAACCTCTTAGGACAAAAGCGTATTTATATCTATACTCCGCTGAATATACCGCTTAATCTTCTGAGATTGAAGGTCAATTTGATCTATATCACTAAGAAGCTTAGTATTAAGCTTCTTAACCCGGGTAATAGTATCTAGCGGCGAATTAGTAGCCGAGCTCGATACCTCGGGGGAGCGGGGGGGGGTTATGAGCCAGATCTTCAAAGGAAGAGTGCTCTTTATTCAGAATACTAATCATAAGGAAAGGAAAAGAAGAAGAGAGCAGGGGAAAAGCTCATAAGTAGACCTGGCAGTGACCCTCCGGGTGGTCCATGATCTTGGACCCTCCACCCGACCCTGACCCTGACCCTAACCCTCTAAGGGTTATCAGCGGACACAATAGAATCAGATATATCTATTGGTGCGGTGATCCTGCTACACAGTAGATATTGATAATAGTGATCGATTGCTTGAGACTAACTAGAATCGAGAATGCTAACTATTTTGATATTCGAGTCTGGGCTGGAACGGTCACATAACCCAGTATATAACACTTACGTGACCTAACATCCCCCTTTAGACTCTAATCTTATTAAGACAATTCTCTATAAAAATCTAGTTATCTCCTTTCGTTGTTGTTGTTATTGTTATTGTTTTTTTTTTAATTGTATACTTTAATTGTAGAGATAGAGTATATTAATAAATATTTCGAATTGCTCTCTCTCCAGTAGCTTAGTTAGTCCGTCAGCTATATTCCTTTTTATGTTAACTCTCAGAATATTAATCTTTCCGTAGACTTCGGCAGAACCCATTTTGGGTCGGAACCTCTGACCCAAAACCCAATAGGTTAGGTTTTGGGTTCCGCCCTCTATAACCCAACCTAACCCAAAACCCAATAGGTTAAACCCAATAACCCAATAATAGCCTATTTGAACCTATTTTTGTATAAAATATAGGTCTTAGCGTTTATAACAATACTAAGTTATTCAAATAAATTACTGTTTTTTACAGCTGTTCTGGTTTATTTATCGAATATTGCTATATTATCACAATATTGACTTAGAAAATTTATATAATTACCCTGAATTTAAAGCTAATAGGCTTTATATTATATTGATTACCGATAAAAATTTATATTAATTATAGTATAGTGGTGTTCTATTAATTTAAGTATTTATTAACTGTAGACTATTGAAAATATATATTTGTAGTAGAGGGGAGTATATATATATATAGGATAACTATAAATATAAATAGAAATATCTTATTCTTATTTAATTTTATATACAATTGATATTATATTAAAGCTATATTTCTCTTCTCTTATATTTAACTTATTATATATACTCCGAATTGTATTTTCTAACCGCGGTCGGAAAATCACTTCTAGGAGGTAGGTATATATATTATTATTTCTAACTATAGTTAGAAAAGCCCTTCTAGGGGGGTAGATATATAGGTAAACACTGTTGGCACAGTCGAAAACACTACTGGCACAGACAGCTAACCCTTTTAGGATAAGTCCCACTTGGCATCTATTTTTCAATACGAGTGCTATTTATCATGGTATCACCACTGTAAAAAACACAGCCCCCGAACCACCCCAGCTATATAGTACTTCAATGATCTGCTCTATACTTGGCCCCACACTAGTTCCCTATACTGGAGCTTCTATTTCATACCTCCATAAAATCACATAACCTGTATAGGGCTAATTTACTAGGGTTATCTGACCACCCCCCGATTAAATTATATAACCTGTACAGGGTGAATTTTGCATTATATCATATGATTTTCAATTAAATTATATGGTTTGTACAGGGTAAATTTAAAAAATCTGCAGGAAAAATACAGTCAAAAAAAGCAGTTGACAAAAGCAGTTGAAAAATAAAGCTTTTACTATAGGGGATTAAAATTGTGCTTATAATTGCCTTCGGATTTTTTATTGTGGGGGGTTAGTAAATTAGCCCTATACAGATCATATAATTAAATGCAAAATTAACCCTGTACAGGTTATGTGATTTTATAGAGGTATAAAATGGAAATATTAATGTAGAGAATTAATAGGGGCTAAGTATAGAGCAGATCATTGAAGTACTCTGTGGCTGGGGTGGTTCGGGGGCTGTGCTTTTTACAGTGGTGATACCATAATAAATGGCACTCGTATTGAAAAATAGATGCCAAGTGGGACTTATCCTAAAAGGGTTAGCTGTCTGTGCTAGTGTTTTCGACTGTGCCAACAGTGTTTACCGATATATTATATATTATTATCTCTGACCGCGGTTAGAAAAGCTCTTCTAGGAGGGTAAATAAAATATTTTTAAGGGATCTTCTAGGGGGAGTAGGTTATAAATAGGTTCTCTTAGGTTAGACCTATTTAAATAGAGCTTATATAGCTAATCAAATAATATTATAGCTTATACCTTTTAATCTATCTACTTTACTATAGGACTAAGGTATTTACTATTTATATACCCTTCTCTTATAAGTATATACTCTCTCTGCCTTTCCCCCTTACCTCTATAGTATTCCCCTTTTCGGTCGTAATATCCTAAAGCTAGTATTCTGACTTTTTACCTACTCTTTACGATACGGATATAGATAACCTTAGCTATCTTATACCCTCTTCTCGAGTTCTAACCCTATCTAGTAGCTAGCTTATAATTAAGCCTTTTAATACTATTAATACTAACTTCCTTCGGCCCTCTAACCTTCTACTAATTCTATACTCTCTTACTCGCGTTAGCCCCGATCGGAGAAAGGTATATATACTTTATAATAATATAGTATATAAAGAATAGGTTAAGTAGTAGCTACAAACCGACTATAGGTAGAAAAGTAAGATTTCCTAGGATTTAAATCGTAATTTAAATATATAGAGTAACTTCGACTAAATTACCTATACTAAAGATAGTACACTAAAGGTAATATATAAGCGCTACTTAAAGATCCTAGAGTATCCTTATTCTCTATTACCTAGCGGAAAGAGCTATTATAGTATATTAATAATATTGAAGTATTTAAAGATAGTAGGCTATTATAAAGCTTAATAGGGAGGGAAAGGAGAAATTACCTAGTTCCTTTAAAAAGTAGTATCTCCTTACCTCTTTATTTAGCTATCTGATTTCCCTAATACTCCTAGATATATAGGATCACAGCTTACTAGAGGCTCCTTTTTTATAATCGGTATAGGAAGAGTATCTTCTCTAATTTCTTACCCTTAATCGACTTCTATTCTACCTTATCGAATATCTAATATTTTATAAGCTATTCCGATTAGCCCGCTCTACACTATCTCTCCCTCTAATACCCTCTACTACTATAATATATCGTTGTTTACGTAATATAATTATAGAATAATAGAAATCTATCCTCTAAATACTACCTAACGACGCAAAAATCTCGATTATATTAGATTGCTAGACTTCTCTATATAACTAGGTGTTTATAGCTATCACTGGCTATTTTATTAACAGTAACTAGGTATACTAAGAGGTTCTACTTAGATTTAAACCACTTTATAGCTCTTATACCGGTTTAAATCTAAGTAGTATACTCCTTAAAACTCTAGTTAAGTATAAGATCTAGGATCGGGTATTTAGAGTTATAACTAATAATATAACTAACAATAAGATAATAGTTAAGGCTATTTAGTAGGCGCTCTCTAGCGATATAACAGTAATCCGAATACCCTGTCTTACCTATATTATCTAGCTTTATTTAAACTAGCTCCTTAATTATTTAAAGGCTATCCCTCTAAATAAGAATATAGAAATAAAGTGGACTAACTAGAAGTTATCTACAGTAAAGGTAAATACTTAGTACTAGATATAGAGGATCTTATATACCTTAAATAAAGTCTATTATCTTACTATATATATCTATATAAGTCCGCAATACTAGGTAGCCTTTCTCCGACTTTAAGAAAAGGGATCCTAGCTTATTCTAATCTAGGACGTAAGGACTCGGTAGAATTCTACCTTAATACTTCGTTATATAAAGAGACTATATAGTTTCTTCTAGCCCTTCTGTAAGGAGTATAACTATAAGGAGATATTGCTTAATACTTAAGAATAGCGTTAAATTAACTATCTTCTATAAATCACTTAGCTATTCTTTAACTATATAATAGAGCTCTCGAAGACAAAGGAGGTTACTATATATCTTATCTTTAAGATTTATAATACCCTCTTTAATCACTTTTTTAAAGCAGAGGCGCTGTTTAAATATAAGTGTATTCTATAGAAATTAGATATACTTAAAGTACTTATAGCTAGTCGCTTAAAACTTAATAAGTACTACTCTTAAACCGATAATCTTAAAGG